TCATCTCGAAATGGAAACTGGTAGGGAAAACGAGCTTCCATAGCCAAATCTATCTCGACTTGCATGCATTTCCAACCTAACCAACACCTGATCTACCACGAAATGACATCTAGTGGATGGTAGGAAGGGGGAAAGCCCTGGTGGGATGACATCTCTGGCAGCATTGGGTATGGTTCTTCCAGTCCACAGTAGGAGGAAGATACCTGGCCATACACAAGTGAGAATACAAGTGCTGCATCAAGCTACAATCAACACAAGATCCATCAGGAACTCACCTCTAGTAGACAGAAAGAAGAGGAACTGCAAATCTGGGGTGCATCTCCAGTCCAAAACCTGGCAGCATTGGGGATTTTTCATCCAGTCCATGGCAGGAGGAGGAATACTGACAAGAACACATGTGAGGACTTACTTAGTTGGAACATCTCCAACCAACACCTGACCCCCTGGGAACCACACCCAGGGGATGGTAGATAGGAGGAACATCTCAGCCTGAGTGACAAACTGCAATAGACATACATATAGTCATGACATGGCAGAGTGCTACAACCAAAACCTGGTGATATCTGAAAGACTGGTGAATTGATAGACCTTGTAACCATTTTGTACTCATACATTTTACACTAATTCTAATATTGAAAGTCATGTAGGGATGATCTGTTTATAGCTGTAACATCCCTATATTCTTGTTTGCATTCTTTTGGCACTGCCAACCCTACATCATTTTACATTTACAAAATGTTTTTTATTACTTGTTGATATAATTTATTACTTGTGAGCATCAATTAGTGTCATGTACAATAATCAGTTAATAAAAATTATGATTAAATTGATTTCCATGAAAATAAACAACTAGTGTTTCCATTTATTACTGTTTTTAATTATTCCAATTATCAAGTAATTGAAGTTACTATTAAATCAATGTCATGCAAATAATCATCTAATAAAGTTAGTGTTTCATTTATTACAATTATCCAGCAATTGAAATTAAGATTAATGTTACAAAAATGATCAAGTAATTAAAATTAGTATTTCTGTTTTCAATTAATCTAAGTTATTGAATTTATGTTTGTTTGTTGCTAAGTGTACAGCTACACAGTGGGCTTTCTGTGCTCTACCCAGTGTGGGTATCAAAACTTGAGTTTCAGCCATATAATTTTTAGCCATCTCATGAGAATAATCTGTTAGTTTAATGTAATGGATTAATGACCTCTGTCCTAATTATCATTATGATATTTCATTATAATTTTTTTGTTAATTCAAATAACTGATTACTGGAGTTGCCTTGTGATTCAAGAGTTTGGAGTTTGATTCTTGTTGCCACCAGTCATGCTTGCCATTGCAGTCATAGGGATGTTATACTTGTTTTTGAGTCAAGGCAAAGCTGTTACTAGTGGAGCTTAAAGAGCATTTAACAAAGCACACAGTTTTCCTCATGTCTTCATCATTACTTGCCTTTGCTGATATAACAATTTGCTGATTGAACCTCAAAAGACTAGCTTTCATAATATTTAATAAATCAGTCTTTTTCATATTTTTAAAAATATTTAAATATTCTTTAAAACTCCAAAATATATCACTTCTAGAAATGGCATAAATAGATAATTTTAATATAGCTCATTACATCAGTATTTGAAACTCTGTATTTAAAAAGATTACAATTAGTATTTCATTGTCCTTATATCACATGACTTCATACACATATGTGAGACTATCACTATTTGAAAAGTGGATATATTTTAGTGAAAAATGCTTAAACATAGTTGGAATGCCTGATTTAATGTATTGGTAGGTCCACCAATTTTTTATTAACATGGACAGCATATCACATGAATTCATACACGTTTGTGAGACTATCACTATTTGAAAATGTGTATATATTGGTGAAAAATGCTTAAACTTAGTGGGAATGCCTGATTTCATGTACTGGTAGGTCCACAGGATCGTTGGCTCATAGTAGTGCTCTGAGACATATTCTTTTACCAGGTTCTAAACAGGCAACTCTCTGCCCTAACTGTTATTTAATTCTCTCACCTCAAACAAGGCTCTTCTTCACCACTCATCTCAGTTTGCAAACATAACCTTATACATAACAAATCAGGCCAACTGTTGAGCCAATGTACAAAAGTGGTTTGATTTACTGACTTCTCAGATTAGACTTTCAAAGGTGGGATAACTGTTTGTTATAGTGGATCAGGATGTTAAGAAATCTGCATTGATTTGAGCTTGAAACAGGAACACTTTTCTCCAACTTATGCTCTGAAGTTGATGCTCTTACCAGTTGAGCTACTGGGTTTAAATCCCAAGCAGACAACTCTCTATTGTGGCCATTATAATGTAAAGATAGAAAACATAATACATTAAAAAGCAGTCTTAAAGTCTATATACATCTAAAGATTATTACAAGATCAGGCATCTCATTCAATATAAATATATAAATCAAGTTGTAAAGACACCATTTTATTGTGATTTTCAAACATAAAAATAATTTGTGCTGATCATTTCCAATGGTCTTAAGCTCATTTTACTTTTATATACAATGAGATGTGACAATAAACATGTTTACTACCTCACGGAAACTCCAGAAGCTCTTTGAGGCCAGGTACAAGTGAAGGCCACTAGTTTGTTTTTTTTTTGAAGGAAAATCTAAAAGATCCTGTTACATTTGATATGCATTTTGCTTGAGATGGATTTTTGAAAATTGAACTTGTAAGAGAAACTAGTTAGCATTTTAGTGTTACTTTTTACACTGTTCAATGTACAAGACATGATTCAGATATATTGAGTTATGTTACCCCAGTTCTTTTACTTCACTCAATTACTTCTTCTGATAAAGTAAAATGATTTTCGAGTGTGTAAAGATACAACTACATTATTGTGTACAGAAATACAGGAATTTCTAAATTTCCAAAAATTTGGTTTACGTTTTTTCGCTATAATATCATCAATTTTTATGGCCATGTTTTTCGATTTACATTCGCATTTTTCACTATAACAAAAATTTACAAAAAATTCATAAGAAAATTTTGCCCTCCGAAGATCTCCAGTAACCGCCATAGCCTCGCCTGTTACCACGACAAGCAAAGCAACACCTACTTCTTGGCAAGTACAGTGCACTACATTTTGTATTTGATTAATGAAGATGTCTTTTTATTTCAGGTTTTTGTTTGTGTTAATTGTAACAGTATTTTTTTTACTTTATAGTGGAAGAAAATGTTTTTTTTTAGTGTGACCAAAAATTTTGGTCAGGAACGCATCCGCTATATTTAACCTCTAAAATAATGGGAAAAGCGTTTTTGATTTATATTTTTCCGTTATACATTACATTCTCAAGAATGTATCCTTTTCATAAGTCAAGGGATACCTGTACATTTCTTGTATGGCATCATAAACCATGGCCTTTGTGTAAAATTCTCATAAAGACTTCACACACATAATATGTTAAGACATATCTTTTGGCTTTATGGAATTTGCTATTATTCAGAGAATACAGAATGGTAAATAAATATGTTTCTAATTCAAAATGCAAAAAATAAAATAAAAATAGATTCTAACTTCTGTTATTTTCTAATGAAGTTTTCACTATCAATGTTTCTGTAACAGAGGTTATCATCAAGTGGTTAACAAGTGTGCTTGCTAAAAGATAATTATGCTATTTTGCACCTGGTATCTTATTATGAATGCATGGATGCATGAATTTACTTTCAGTTTTGCATTTTTAACATGGCTACTATCATATTCATGATGCCTTGTGTTTCAAACACATTTCTTTGAATATTTATTGATGCAGTTGGAAGATATACCAGACATATTTCACAATATAATGGAAATTATTGTACTGTTATCAGGAAAAGAAATTTGAAGAGAATAAACTTGCTTTGTAATCATGCATAAGAAAGGTAAAACTTAGGTTATTATTATTTTGTTTTTCAACATTAATGTAAGATCATGGGTTCACAGCTATACTGTAAATGAAGGTAATAAAGATACTTCTTAAAAAAGATAACCTAAATCAATTTGTTGTTTCCCTTCTTTTATTAAATACTATCTGACTGCCTGTCATATGATTGTCAGTGCTGATTAATTTTTCTTCTCAAAATGAAATGTAAATAAATATATTATAGTAACAATATATGTATAATGAATGTTTATCCTATTTTTCCAGTATTTCCTGTAAGTAGTCCTTGATTAGAATTTTGATTTATGTATATTTTTATGTCATGTTCAAATCTTATTCTTCATAAAACTTTATAGATTGAACCATGGAAAAAATTGGTTCTCAAAGAAATATTCCTACATTTTAAATATCTGACTTTGCAATATATTAACTGTGATGGTAAAGGCAATGAATTCTACAATGAAGAACAAGTGCATGAAGACGTAACTTTTCATAAAAATGCTTATAAACTTTTTGACTACATTTTTAAAAATCTCTTACCTAAAGTGAATAGCACAAATAATAATGTATTATAGCGCCATCTATTGGATTAGATATTTAAGTTGGTTTTGACACATGGAGTCACTGGTTTTTATTATGTAATATGATATTATCCCTGATTTAGTCTATAGTTGTATTCCTATTTTTCTGAATATTGAAAGAGCTTGTTGCAAACATGATAATATAATTCTGACTCGACTAGGATTTGAATGCGAGACTTCCAGATTATAGTCAGTTACTATAACCACTGTGACACCAAGTCTTTGTAATCAAATGTCAACAAATAGTTCATATTCCTAATGTAATCTATCATGTTGTTGTTTTTCATAATATTGTAATATCTTGCTCTAAAAGTGATGGAGTTAAAAGTTGAAAAAGATTATAAAAATCCTCACTGGACTGGGGTTTCAACTCGAGACTTCTACTTGAGACAAACCACTTTGAATTTTACAAACAGGGAGTTTGACCTTTATGTGGGTATATATAGATATAGAGAGAGAGATATTTTATTTTTTGTGTGTAAACTATTATTTTGAAATAGTGATAATTATTGTAATTGTATTAGGAACATCATTTACAAAGAGCGATATCAGCTCAACAAGCTTTTGGTCATACAGGAGAACTAGTTATTCCTACACCTGAAGTATATACTACAATTGAAGAAATATACCAATCTTTGTATCCTGCAGATTACAAGGTTTCAAGACAACTTAGACATATGCAGCGTAAGTAAATACTTGAACGTAAGAAATTATAACAGCCCTGAGATCACCTCATCTAAGATGCTTGATTCTAAGTAATATTTTTATTACTTGTTTTACTTATCCATGAAAAATGTATTTTAATTTTATGAGTTTATTTATATTTGTATACCATCTTTTGGCCTTAAACAGTATTTGGCATTTAATGCTCATAACAGAATAGGTCATAAGCACTCAATAGATGTGAAGCTATGTTGCTGACAGATTTTTCTGCAAGAGACCACCTGTAAATTAATGCCCTGCTCATTTAAGCAAACAGTCCAAAAATGTCTTTAATGCTTATGCGATATTTGTATTATATTTTTGTCAAACTTCTGAACTATGATAGGACAACTATTCCACTATTGATTTGATATAGTGTATTATTTTATTTTTTGAAGATATGTATAATAGATAGAATAGTGTGAACTTATGAATAAAAGTTATCATTCCATTTAACATATAGATGAGCCTCATATGAAAAAAGGAATAACCTTATCATTAAACTTTAAATTTACTTATACTGCTGTATCTCTTCTATGTCAGTTGTTTGTGAAAGCTTCAGAATTACATATATCTTTATCGATATACGGTTATGGTTATATATATTATCCGATATTTTAGGCAGTTTCAAAGATGTTATTTCGTTGTTTTAATTATTTTATTAATAAAGTTAGCTTATGTCTGTAGTATTAACAGCTTATGTCTGCTTATGTCTGTAGTATTAACAGCTTTCTGTTGCTTTTACCTTTTCTTTCTTCAGATAAATTTCTATATGATTTTAACTGTTATCCTCAAGCAGTTCTATTTTTTGAAATGAAAGAACTGGAAGAGAAAGGATAAGCTCAAATTTGGCTTTTCACTATCATGTTTATTCTTAAAGGATTTTTACCTCCCCAAACTGAATCACAGTTAGGTAAAGTATTTAAACAAGTTACTGGTATTATGTCTTGTAAACCGATCGGGTACACTTGCAAGTCTCACGTAGGACCTTAATGGCCTAATGGTATCGTTTCACTTCAGTGCTTTATTAATGAAAACATTTAGCATGATTAAGAATTTAATACATCTTAAATACTTTAAAAGTGATGAATTGCCAAATAGCTTAAATTTTCTTCTTTAAAACAGGATTTTACTGTTCTAAAGTAATATTGGTAATAAGAAAGAGAACTATGTGTTCACTGAATTAATCATTCCTATTTATTTTTGATATAAAAAATATTCATAATAATCATTTGGTCATTGATATGTCTCTTACGTGATTATTTGCACTCTTCTAACTTCTGAAAGTACAGAAAACTAACATAATGTTTGTGAAAATAATATAACTTTTAACTTGAACTTGTTTTTAAAGATTGACATTGAAATAATGGTATATTTTATTTCAGAACAAAAACTAACCTTAGTTCAGGATTTCATGTCTTCTTTGTCTTATTATAAGGATAAAACTAACTGAATTCTGAATGCAATTCATATGGGGATTTTCAATCATACAAAATTGATTCACAGGCAAGTGTCACAACATACTGTGATGACAGTTTTCATGGTTGCAAAGCCCATTAAAAAAATGGACTTAAAGTTTAATTAAGGGGTTTTGGATAATAGCAGTAAACAAAAATGAAGTGGTTCTTAAAAAACCTTTCAGATCTTTAACTGAATTCTGTCTGGTGTCTCCCTCTGTCATGAAATAAAACAATTTAATTGTTTACTGCCCTTTATTTCATTGTTCTCTGATGAATTACAATGTAGAATTTTTGAAAAATTTTCATTTATTCTAGGTATTTGCAATTTTCACATAACACATGACCAGTATAGGTGTTAAATTACTTTGACTACAGTTACATATTGTTTTGTATCTTTCCCTTGAGATTGTGATAACACCTTGTTTGCCCAAGGAGAAGATAGAGCTGGGTGATCAACCTGATTAATCAAAATAATAGATTAACTATGAGCATCAGTTAGTGTGGAATAAAGTAATCAATTAATCTAAATTGTGATTACATTTATTATTTTCATGAAAATAATGAACTAATAGAAATTAGTGTTTCTGATTATTACCATTTTTAATTATTCCAACTGTCCAAGACTTGTATAAAATAACAATTAATTCAATGTAATCATTTAATGAACCAAACAATTAATTGATTAACTGTGAGTAACATGGACACGAGGCCTTGACTTTGAGCAGAATTTGGAGTGAAAACCAGATATTTGAATTAAAATAAAGAATATGGTGTAAGATGTTTTTCTGATACTGTGCCAATTATTATAAATTGTTTAATTACTGAAGTGTATTGGAATGATTTTTTATTTATGTATGCACCACTTAAGATTTTGTTTTCTCTCTCTTCTTCAGCCTTTGCAGTTGATCATGATATTCCTGACTATGACATGGATTCAGATGATGAAAGATGGCTGACACAACAAGCTAAAAAGATGGAAGTTACACCTCTACAGTTTGAAGAAATGATGGATCGTTTGGAGAAAAGTAGTGGGCAACAAGTATGTTATGCTAAAGTGTGTTGTTCTTAAGAACATAAAATTTTTTTTCAAAAAATACATACATTTTGTGTTAGTAATTACTGTGAAAATACTTGGACATCAGACAATTGTATACAAGTCCCTTTCACTTGTTAGTGTGGCTATATTCTGATGAATTTTTCATGCCTTATAAATATGTTGTCTGTTTTGTCATTTTTATTGAAGAAATATGAAAATACTTTACTAAGCAGTTGCATATTTCTTTCTTATCACCTGTACCACTAAGCAAAATAAAGATAGTTTCTTTATAGGTTGTTACACTGAAAGAAGCTAAACTTCTTCTGAAGGAAGATGATGATCTTATTATTGCAGTTTATGACTATTGGTTGAACAAAAGATTGAGAATGGTAGGTAACAATATTTTATTTACTTGGCAGACTTGCTTTCTTTGTTTTCAGCATCATTGTTTAGTCTTGATAAGTGCTGTGATATTATTGAGAATACAAATATGTTACCTTCAGCTTTAAACTGGCATATGTCATCAACCAGGTCATATGAATTAATAATGAACCACAATAGTAGTTCATAATAAAGATTGCAAGGAATTGCACAAAACCCTAATAGAATGTTTGGGCAAAAAGCATCTTAAACAGTAACAATTCACTTCAAACAACACTTTAAAACCATTACTATTGACTACTAAGGCTGTACACATATAAAAATGCACAAAAAAGCACGTATGTTAGACTTATAAGGAAAAGAAAAATCCACTCAAAATGGCTTGTTTGTAATTATTCTTATTATTATTCTCTTGCCAGCCTACAACAAAAATGACTTGGTATATTGCACCCAAACCTTCTGTAAAATACTAAATAAGGTACTAAGAAAAGTTGATTTGTTTCATCTAAATTTTACAGAAGCTAATAATTTCATAATTCTAGTGTAAACGATGTTATCATTACCCCTTGAAGTTAGGTTTCTTACAAATATCTGATGTTCCTTTAAAAAGCTTAAGTAAAACAGGATGAAACAGGAATTACCAGTCAGTAATAGGTGAACATGAGTTAACTGTAACATATAGTACTATACGCTTTTTACACTGTACAATCGGTGACTTTAGGGATCCAACCCCTATATTATGTATGAAGTGAAGGAATAAAAAAAATCAATACACATAATATTAAATTTTATTCACATATTCTAGAATAATTACTTTAAAAGATAAAGGTTTATTTAAAGCAATATTATAGAAATGTTTTATTTGAAAAGGCTGCTTTTCTACTGATAAAATTTATTTTTCTTGCTTATTGGGATTGTGTCTTAGTCTAGGCATATATTTGCTCATTGCTATACATTATATAGTGAGAATTTAGTTACACAGAAA